TTTAGCGAAAGGTAAGGCGGGGTCAAGTGCCCAGGTAAAGGACGTCCTCGTCCTCAACAGGCGGAAAAGACCTGCTTCTGCCGTGTGGGAGGTTTGCTTTGCAGAGGACAACATTGACCTCACCCTCGTACAAGAGCCTTGGGTTGGGTTGGGATTGTCGGCTGCCGGTAAGATTCTTGTCAATACTAAAGGCAGTAGACACAGAGCTTGTATAATTTACAATAAAAATATTGAACTTTTAGCTGTTCCAGAGTACTGCAATGATGAACTGGTTACAGCCTTCATAAATCTCAAGGGATACACAGGAGCAAGAGTAATCATTTGCTCAGCCTATCTTCCCGGAGAGAAGGCAGATCCTACCATCGAGTTAGAGTGAGTGGCGGTGTTCGCCCAAAAACACAACGCCGAACTGGGTTGTGATGCTAATGCTCACCACACAGCCTGGGGAAGCACCAACATCAACGAAAGAGGTGAGTTACTTTATGATTTTCTCATCTCCAACCGCCCGGTAAGCCTAAACTTAGGTCGTACAGCAACTTTTGTAACACGTGCTAGGCAAGAAGTGTTACGACATAACTATAATAAATGCCAGGATAAATGACTGGCATGTTAGTAGCAAAAACTCGATGTCTGATCACAAGCACATTGAGTTTGTGATTTGAGCAGCACCAACCTATGAAACCGTTGCTTTAAGAGATCCTTAAAGCGACCTCCTGGGATATCTACAGAGAAAGCCTAAGGAGGAATTTGGAAACGTTTCCTAAAAGCATCAAAACAATTGAAGGTCTGAAGTAAGCGACGGAGACAGTAACCGCAGGTATTCGTGAAGCCTTCGAGGACAGTTGTCCCGTCAAAACCAAGTCCTCAATACGAAAAGTTTCTTGGTGGAGTACTAAGCCAAAAGAACTTAGGGAAAAGACCTGGAAACTATTTAATAGGCCTAAGAAAATCAAAGAGTGGGATATATACAGTGCAGCCCTAACTGAATATAATAAAGAAATTAGGAAAGCTAAGAGAGCATCGTGGAGGAAGCTATGCGAGGAAGTTAAGTCTTTGCCTCGCAGTGCAAGACTACACAAAATGCTATCGAAAGCTAATCCTAATCAGATCGGGCTTCTTAAAAAGCCGGATGGTAACTTCACTAATAGTTAAAAAGAAACATTGGAGTTACCAGCGTCAACCCATTTCCCAAACTTTAAGCATTGAATTCTTTCAGAGCCCTACGAAGGCCTTGTAATGAGGACTGGTGCAAGACTGCAAAGATAATAAGGCCAAACCTGGTGCAGTGGACTGTCGACTCCTTTAAACCATTGAAAAAAAGTGGGGAGGATGGAGTAACTCCCATCCAACTACAGAGGCGTATCGACATTCTTCATCCCTATCTGGTGAAAATCTTCAGAGCAAGTTTTGCATGGGGATATATTCCAGAACGATGGACAATTGTCAAGGTTCTATTTATCTCTAAGGCTGATAGAAAGGACTACGCTTTACCAAAGTCCTATAGACCTATAAGCCTATGTTCCTTATTCCTTAAGACATTGAAAAAGGTTATACATCACTGCTGATTGGGGGCCTGACATCTAAAAATATTGACCCCACAATCACCAGATGGGTGAAGTCTATACTCTCAAACAGAAAGGCAAAAATAGGGCAGTTTCAAACTTCGATTGAGGTTGCACTACAAGAGGCTGCCTACAAGGAGGTGTTTTGTCACCCTTTCCTTGGACTCTTGCGGTTGGCCAACTATTGTACAAGATGGCAGATCTACACATTGACACACTGGTTTATGCTGATGACCTTGTGTTCATTGCGAGGGGCTTTTGCCAAAGTACTTTATCGTTAAAGTACTTAATCATAAAAAGAGCCCTAAACACCAGATAGTCGACAGTTGACCCTATTGTAGTAATATAAGACGCTTAATATAATATTATTGTATAGAATCATACACCAAGCGTACATTCAACCAATCACACTACACAATTAATAACCACGTCATTCCCCACACCCGACACTCATATTCGTTCTCACACTCCCATTCTAACTTCCGAACAAACAAGACACAAGCACAATGTAATTAAAGAATTAATAAAACTAAATTCAATCGAATAAATCTTTAAGAATATCTACGATATCTTTCTTTTCTTCACCGCAGTTAATGCTAATAAAACTGTTATAATACCCTTTACCAAAAAGAGAGGGTTAGACAAATTAGTCCAACCGAAACTTAATGGTAAAGAAGTACCATTTTCCACCGAAGTTAAGTACTTGGGCGTAACAATCGACCAAAAACTAACGTGCAACTCTCACCTTAGCAACGTATGCCATAAGGCAAAAATTGCTTTAGGTACGTGCAGTCGTTTGATCGGGAACAACTGGAACTTGCGTCCCAGTATGGTCCTATGGCTGTACAGCAGCATAATGAAGCCGATTCTCACCTACGCCTCTATTGTCTGGTGTAACAAGGCCAACCAAAAGACGACTGCGGACAGACTAAATAGTCTACAAAGGACTGCCTGCTTAATGGCAACTGGAGCTATGCGATCATCGCCTGGAGCGGCTCTTAATGCACTTCTATTCCTAACGCCCCTTGATCTCTATCTAGACAAGGAGGCGAGGGCTAGTTTGTATAGGATTAACGCCCAGGGCGGTCTGAACTTGCTCTCCTACAGATTGAAATCCATGCTCGACTCAATTAAGGAAACACCGGCTTATGCATGATCTCAGATATCATGCGTCAGTAGTTAGTTATTACCAGTTCTGGCTCACTGAGTCAGAAGTGATACAAGTACAACGTTCGTCGAGACTCACGAACCTAAAAAAAAAGAAGAGAAATAAAAGGTTTTGGCATGCTCTGATCACGAATCTGCGGTCCGTTTTTGCGTAGGATGCACGGTTCCGGAGATGTGCAGATCAATTAACTCTTATCTAATTGATATCCGGTGAGGGCCTCCACCGTCATTAGCGCCCCATTGTTATTTATCTATTGTTCATTGAATACCGTCATTGTCTATTCGTGCGTCGGATTATCAGTGCTATTATATTATACTCCTTTGTTCCTAACTGCAACGGTAATCTGAATCATCAATAAAATACATTACCTAATTTTGTTACAATTTTTATTTACGAAATACAAAATCTTATTACTTATTATCTATAAAATAATCAAAAGAATCAAAATATTGACCGACGTCATTCGTATCGATATATAAAGCTACCCAATGTGACCCTGGTTTATCATCTGTATCCAAATTGCATATTATATACGTTGGCACGTGGGTGTACATGGGCAGTCTATTGGCAGCATAAACGTTATTTTCTAGACTGGGGTGAATCTTTTTCAGATGTTGTTGTACATCTAGTGTATCCATGATATTACTGCTATTAGTAGATTATTACAGTACAATCTACTCAATGACTAACATAGGAATGATCAATTATAGTGATTTCTAAATATTATTTTGTATATTATATATATATTGCATTATTTTGTATTATAGAAAACGTATTTGAGTCATCAATACACTGAACAAGACGCGACACGAAATAATGTTGAGATAAGCAACAAAATGTGAGATAAGCTTGTTGACGCATAAAGTTACTATCAATTCCTCTGCAGAAATTCTTTTGATTAGAATTATTACTTACTGGTACTATATAAGACCAAGCAAGTGCAGTCATGGAGTTAGTGTATGGTCGTTTGACCGCAGTGGATCTATCAATACTACATTTGTGTTACTTCAGCGCATCAAAGGCCATGGATGTAAGTGTTTATTCTATTGACAAACTTACTTTTCTTTCTGTTATTTTCTTACGTGTTTATGATTTAGTGTTAACAAATTATATTTAAATATTGTTTGTATGTATATGATTAAGCCGTGGTAGCTCAGATGGTTAGCGCAAGTTGTAAATTTCACAGTACCCGGGTTCGAACCCCGCTTAAAAAAAATATACGAAGAAACTTTTTCTCCGTCCTAACAAAATAAGGCTACTCTTTGAAAACTAACCCTGTATATTCTGGCTACAATGAATTTATTCAAACGCTGTTTATAGTAATTATTTGCACCAGGCCCTTCCAGTTATTTCCCTTACCTTACGCGTGTATAAGTGTAAATAATAGGTACAAAATGTTTTATGGATATTAAATATTGTCGTGTTTTAACTGGGAGTATTTTAAATATGGGAAATAATTATTCGTATTCGTTTGTACTTTTCTTATCTCCAGAAATTCTTAAGAAAAAAGTAAAAACGATTAAAAACATTTTATATTGCGATATTGAAAGGATTTACCACTATTTTAGATAAATACGGAGTGTGCGTAAAAATATTCCATTATATAATATTTCATGAACGACCTATTGATCAGAGTCCTCCCAATAAGTAGCGGATATTGGGTAGAAGTCCTAGCTAGTGCAAACAAGCTACTCGATGTAATCTCGTGGCGGGAAAGAAAGGAGTAATGAGGGAATGGGGGGGGGGTTGTACCTCGTCTGCGGCAGCGTGGTGCTGCGGTGGGGTCGGGGCAGGGCACGGCGAGGAGCGCGACGCCTCCTGCGTGAGGTCCTTCAGCAGCTCCTCCTTCTCCGTGTTGCGCGTGAAGCAGAAGTCCGACACTTTGTTTTGGAGCGTACCTCGTCTGCAGCAGCGTGGTGCTGCGGCGGGGCCGGGGCGGGGCGCGTCGAGGAGCGCGACGCCTCCTGCGTGAGGTCCTTCAGCAGCTCCTCCTTCTCCGTGTTGCGCGCGAAGCAGAAGTCCGACACTTTGTTTTGGAACGTACCTCGTCTGCAGCAGCGTGGTGCTGCGGTGGCGCCGGGGCGGGGCGCGGCGAGGAGCGCGACGCCTCCTGCGTGAGGTCCTTCAGCAGCTCCTCCTTCTCCGTGTTGCGCGCGAAGCAGAAGTCCGACACTTTGTTTTGGAACGTACCTCGTCTGCAGCAGCGCGGTGCTGCGGCGGGGCCGGGGTGGGGCGCGGCGAGGAGCGCGACGCCTCTTGTGTGAGGTCCTTCAGCAACTCCTTCTTCTCCGTGTTGCGCGCGAAGCAGAAGTCCGACACTTTGTTTTGGAACATACCTCGTCTGCAGCAGCGTGGTGCTGCGGCGGGGGCGGGGCGGGGCGCGGCGAGGAGCGCGACACCTCCTGCGTGAGGTCCTTCAGCAGCTCCTCCTTCTCCGTGTTGCGCGCGAAGCAGAAGTCCGACACTTTGTTTTGGAACGTACCTCGTCTGCAGCAGCGTGGTGCTGCGGCGGGGCCGGGGTGGGGCGCGTCGAGGAGCGCGACGCCTCCTGCGTGAGGTCCTTCAGCAGCTCCTCCTTCTTCGTGTTGCCCGCGAAGCAGAAGTCCGACACTTTTTGTTTTGGAACGTACCTCGTCTGCAGCAGCGTGGTGCTGCGGTGGCGCCGGGGCGGGGCGCGGCGAGGAGCGCGACGCCTCCTGCGTGAGGTCCTTCAGCAGCTCCTCCTTCTCCGTGTTGCGCGCGAAGCAGAAGTCCGACACTTTGTTTTGGAACGTACCTCGTCTGCAGCAGCGTGGTGCTGCGGCGGGGCCGGGGGGGGGCGCGGCGAGGAGCGCGACGCCTCGTGTGTGAGGTCCTTCAGCAACTGCTTCTTCTCCGTGTTGCGCGCGAAGCAGAAGTCCGACACTTTGTTTTGGAACGTACCTCGTCTGCAGCAGCGTGGTGCTGCGGCGGGGTCGGGGCGGGGCGCGGCGAGGAGCACGACGCCTCCTGCGTGAGGTCCTTCAGCAGCTCCTCCTTCTCCGTGTTGCGCGCGAAGCAGAAGTCCGACACTTTGTTTTGGAACGTACCTCGTCTGCAGCAGCGTGGTGCTGCGGCGGGGCCGGGGTGAGGCGCGTCGAGGAGCGCGACGCCTCCTGCGTGAGGTCCTTCAGCAGCTCCTCCTTCTCCGTGTTGCGCGCGAAGCAGAAGTCCGACACTTTGTTTTGGAACGTACCTCGTCTGCAGCAGCGTGGTGCTGCGGTGGCGCCGGGGCGGGGCGCGGCGAGGAGCGCGACGCCTCTGCGTGAGGTCCTTCAGCAGCTCCTCCCTCTCCGTGTTGCGCGCGAAGCAGAAGTCCGACACTTTGTTTTGGAACGTACCTCGTCTGCAGCACCGTGGTGCTGCGGCGGGGCCGGGGTGGGGCGCGGCGCGGAGGAGCGCGACGCCTCTTGTGTGAGGTCCTTCAGCAACTCCTTCTTGTCCGTGTTGCGCGCGAAGCAGAAGTCCGACACTTTGTTTTGGAACGTACCTCGTCTGCAGCAGCGTGGTGCTGCGGCGGGGTCGGGGCGGGGCGCGGCGAGGAGCGCGACGCCTCCTGCGTGAGGTCCTTCAGCAGCTCCTCCTTCTCCGTGTTGCGCGCGAAGCAGAAGTCCGACACTTTGTTTTGGAACGTACCTCGTCTGCAGCAGCGTGGTGCTGCGGCGGGGCCGGGGTGGGGCGCGGCGAGGAGCGCGACGCCTCTTGTGTGAGGTCCTTCAGCAACTGCTTCTTCTCCGTGTTGCGCGCGAAGCAGAAGTCCGACACTTTGTTTTGGAACGTACCTCGTCTGCAGCAGCGTGGTGCTGCGGCGGGGTCGGGGCGGGGCGCGGCGAGGAGCACGACGCCTCCTGCGTGAGGTCCTTCAGCAGCTCCTCCTTCTCCGTGTTGCGCGCGAAGCAGAAGTCCGACACTTTGTTTTGGAACGTACCTCGTCTGCAGCAGCGTGGTGCTGCGGCGGGGCCGGGGTGGGGCGCGTCGAGGAGCGCGACGCCTCCTGCGTGAGGTCCTTCAGCAGCTCCTCCTTCTCCGTGTTGCGCGCGAAGCAGAAGTCCGACACTTTGTTTTGGAACGTACCTCGTCTGCAGCAGCGTGGTGCTGCGGCGGCGGCGGGGCGGGGCGCGGCGAGGAGCGCGACGCCTGCTGCGTGAGGTCCTTCAGCAGCTCCTCCTTCTCCGTGTTGCGCGCGAAGCAGAAGTCCGACACTTTGTTTTGGAACGTACCTCGTCTGCAGCAGCGTGGTGCTGCGGCGGGGCCGGGGTGGGGCGCGGCGAGGAGCGCGACGCCTCTTGTGTGAGGTCCTTCAGCACCTCCTTCTTGTCCGTGTTGCGCGCGAAGCAGAAGTCCGACACTTTGTTTTGGAACGTACCTCGTCTGCAGCAGCGTGGTGCTGCGGCGGGTCCGGGGTGGGGCGCGGCGAGGAGCGCGACGCCTCTTGTGTGAGGTCCACCAGCAACTCCATCTTCTCCGTGTTGCGCGCGAAGCAGAAGTCCAACACTTTGTTTTGGAACGTACCTCGTCTGCAGCAGCGTGGTGCTGCGGCGGGGTCGGGGCGGGGCGCGGCGAGGAGCGCGACGCCTCCTGCGTGAGGTCCTTCAGCAGCTCCTCCTTCTCCGTCTTACGCGCGAAGCAGAAGTCCGACACTTTGTTTTGGAACGCCACCAGCAACTGCAACACACATATATTGCTTTTATACTAGGAATTTCATTAAATGTACACCAAACTGGTCCGAAACTGGTACGACATTGGTAAGACACTGGGGAAGAAAATTCTCAATAGTCCTATTCTATAAAATAAATGGAATTTTTATCAGTACATATACCTTTAGTTTACTTTTGTTATATTTATAATAATAATAATTCTTTATTGACACTTTTGTAGCTTACGTACTTCATCATGAGGACCAATTAAAATTATTGGATTTTAAAATTAAGCACTTTGTTTTCAGTTTTTTTTTATTTTGTTTTCTTTACTCAATTTTGTTTCGGTCTATTTAGTGCACTACTTTTAAATTGTCTTTTTTGCAATCGGGTTTTAGATTTTTTTTATTATTTATTTTATTAAAATATTCTAATAAAATAAACTCAAAAAACATTACATGAAAACTAAAACGATGGTTAATTTTGAAGAGGCAGTTAAAACATTACAATTTAAAAAAATTACTTTATTACTAGACTGCGATGATCCAAATGAAGTATGCGATAAGTTGATTACCTACATACAAGAATTTCTAGACTGTAACACAAAAACTATTAATGTTAATAGAAATAAGCGTATCAGTAAGCCTTGGATCACAGAAGGCATTTTACGGTGCATTAATAATTGGAATAAGATGCACAAAAACCTTCGTCTAGACCCTAAAATAACCTACAGAAGATACCGAAATTATATAAACAATTTAATTAAAAAGCTAAAATGGAGATACAAGTGGAACAACTCGCTAAATCTTTACGGAAATGTATCAAAAAAAAAATAGCTAACTTTAACCTGAGTAAAAGCACTGATAGCAACTTGTTAAATTTAAAACTATCACCAACTGAGTCAATTAACTTAGTCAACAACTTCTTTGCTAACGTTGGTACCGACTTAGCTAATGAAATCATTATTGACCAGCCAACCCAACCTTGTTCTATGGATATCACATAGAGTAATCTCTGTAGACACAATATATCATCTACTCGACAACTTACCTCTTGTGTCTTGCTAGAAACTGATAATCAAGAAGTCCTTTCTGTTATTATGAGTCTTAAGATAGATAGCGCTCTTGGGTGGGAGAAAATTCCTCTTAAGTTCTTGAAGATGGCTCATTGTTTCCGTCAAGGAACATTTCCTGATGCTCTAAAACGAACAATAATAACAATTATCGTCCTATATCAGTTTTAACATCAATTATCGTCCTATATCAGTTTTAACGTCAATTATCGTCCTATATCAGTTTTAACGTCAATTATCGTCCTATATCAGTTTTAACGTCAATTTTGAAGGTCTTGGGAAAACTGATAAGGACTAGACTAATTGGTTATTTAAATAAATTCGACATCCTTTGTGCTTCACAATTTGGCCTTAGACGTGGAATATCAACCGTAGATGCAGTTACCGCTATCACAAATCTAATTGTATCTATTGATAATAGTCGTAAATGCCTTACAGTATGTAAGGCATTTATATATAATAGTCGTAAATGCCTTACATACTGTAAGGCATTTACGACTATTATATATATCTTGGACCTTAAAAAGCATTTGATACTGTTTCTGTCCCCATTCTTGTGCATAGGCTTGAGAGATATGGCTTCAGAGATGCCTCTCTAGCATTACTAACAAGCTATCTCCAAAATAAAACAGGTCAAACTGGGTGATTATACAAGCACGTTAGCTGACACATCTTATGGTGTACCACAGGGAAGTGTGCTTAATCCATCGCTTTTCCTGATATACATCAACGATTTGTGTAACCTTAAAATCGCAAATGTCAATATTTTTTCTCACGCAGGTGAAACAGCTTTTGTATTCTCTGGTGAAATATGGACTGAAGTTCAAAGGATCGCTGACGAGGGACTACAAATAATTGCTCAGTGGATAAACTCAAACCTTCTTACGATTAACGTTAGCAAAACAAATTTTATGTGTTTTACAATTAATAAAAGAACGCAACCTAGTGACGACCTTTTGTAAGGATAAATAACTGTGGAAATCGGAATAATTCACCATGTGCATGCCAATCAATTGAGAAAGTTGTGGTTACTAGATATCTAGGAGTGGTTCTTGATCAGCGCTTGTCATGACATCCACATTTAGATAAAGTGTTGAGTAGGATTAGAAAACTAACATGGAATTTAAAAAAACTTAGACATGTCGCTGACAAGACATTGTTAACAAGTATCTATATTGCTTTGGTACAATAAGTATTGTCATTGTTGATTTGAATAAGGTCTTCACTTGGTTGGGTATAGTAAAATAAAACTCAATACGTATGCTCTGTTCAACGGTCTATTGGACACTAAATGCATACAAGGAATGTGAGCGTAATAAACACATTATTTAGTCAAACATACCGCCCACCAAAAGGGACTTAAGACCTTTTCGAAATAAACAAATTAATAAAACATTTGAACTTAACTAGTAACTGAAACAATAAATGCTACTAACAATATTTGTAGTTGAAGTTATTCAATGCTTCACTTTAAAAATTTACAATTTAATATTACAAATTAAATAACGTAAGTTGATAAATAGCTATTATTAGCTATAAAACTTATAACAAACAAATAAAGAAAAACTTCACAAATATAATACTAATTTGATACTTAACTACTGCAAAGAATACAATTTAAAGTTATTAAATTAAATTTAAAATATTAATCTTTATTAGAAATCGGTAATACACACAAATTTGAGATGGATCTCCGTGTTAATTTACCATTATAACGGACGGTATACACGCGTGTTATATTGTCTTGCCCAGGATGTTTTTCAGTTATCCGTGCCAGAGCCCACTTGCTAGGCGGTAAATTTTCATCTTTTGCAATACTACATCACTTACTTCAAACTCAGGTGTTCTCTTTAACCACTTAGGTCGCTGATTAAATCGGGACAAATATTCAGTCTGCCAGCGTTTCCAAAACGCTTGAACCAGTTTTTGAGTGTGTTGCCATCTGGATAACAGACTGTAGTTCTCAATTGTATAATCGCGGTCTGGTTCCGTGATTGGTGCTTCTCCAATTACGAAATGTCCAGGAGTGAGTACTTGAATGTCATCGATCGTGTCCACATCTGTGGATAACGGTGTTAAAGGCCGAGAGTTCAGACATGCTTCGATTTGTGTAAGCACTGTCATGAATTCTTCGAACGTTAAGTTTGACTTCAGTGACTTTCGTAAGTGCTGTTTGACTGATTTGACACCAGCCTCCCAGAGTCCTCCAAAGTGTGGTGTGTATGGTGGTGTAAAATGCCATTGCGTGCCATCACTTGCTAATTGATCTGCTATGTGTCCAGGCATTTCCAGTCCTGTCTCTCTCCACATTTTAACTAATTCCTTATTGGCTGCAACAAAGTTCGTTCCGTTATCGCTCCAGATTTCATTACATCTTCCTCTTCTGGCAACAAAACGTTTTAATGCTGCTATAAATGCATCAGATGTTAAATCGCTCACCATCTCTAAATGTATCGCCTTTACTGCCATGCAAATAAATATGCAAATGTAAGCCTTCCTGCTTTTAGCTCCTCTTCCTTTAGAATTTAGCAGGTAAACTGGACCAGCAAAGTCGACTCCACTTCGAGAGAATGGACGCGTTGGGGTCACTCGAGGCTCAGGTAAATCACCCATCACTTGTCTGAAAGTAGCTCGTTGCCGTGCGCAAGTAAGACATGTTTGTATGTACCTTTTCACCAAACTCTTGCAGCCAAAGATCCAGTATTTACTCATGAGGTATGCAATCATAAGTTTAATTTCACCATGCATTGTTTTCTGGTGTGCGTCAGCAAGAACCAGTGTTACGAAGGTGTTTCTCTTACCTATGATTATAGGGTGTTTTATGTCTTCATCGACGTGTGCATTTCTTAATCTGCCGCCCACCGTGAGGATATTTCGTTCATCAATGTATGGGCTTAGCGTCTTCAATATGCTCGTGGTCTTCACAGGCTTGTGGTTCTTTAATCTTCTTATCTCGTCTGAAAATTCTTCTTGTTGTACTTGTCTTATACAAATATCTAAAGCATTGTGCATTTCTTCCACAGTCAATTCATAGTTAGGAATCTTTTGATCCCTTTTCATATTTAGAAATCTTTTAGATAATACTATTACTCTTAACAGCTCCGTAAGTGTATCATATTCTTCAAATTTAATTATTTTTCTTTCACAATCCGTAACATTAACATAGGACTTGTATGGCCTTTTTCCTTTCCATTTGTGTAGGTGTTATTGAAGGTCTAGTACACTCAATGTGTTTTTTGCCGAGCCAAGTTGGTCCCTTCCACCATAACGTTTTCTGCTGTAGCTCTGATGTCAAAGCACCTCTTGAAGCTATATCAGCTGGATTGCCTGACGACTTCACATGATACCACTGGGAGACGTTTGTTTGCTCCAGTATTTCCACTACTCGGTTTGCAACGAATGGCTTCCAACGATTTGGTTCCTCAAAAAGCCATGATAATACAATTGTAGAGTCCGTCCATGCAAATACATTTTGTGATGGAATTCTCATAGCGTTGCTTATATAATAATTTGGCTAGCAGGGTTGCTCCACTTAGTTCAAGTCGCGGTAAAGAAATGGTCTTAACAGGAGCGACTCTCGTCCTCGCGGCGATAATGTGTGTTTTTATATCACCATCTTTCGTCAGTACTTGGCAATATACTACAGCTGCGTATGCCCTCTCAGAAGCATCGCAGAATCCATGTAATGTAACTCGATCCTTTTCATTGCTTAAAATGTTCACCCAACGTTGAACTCTTATTTTATTGACATTTTTTAAATCTTCTTTTATGATTTTCCATTCTCTTTTCAGTTCTTATTTATGTCTCGGTCCTAAACAACTCCTTCTAGCCACAATCTTTGTACAAGTATCTTTGCTCTAACAATTACTGGTGCTATCCATCCAAGTGGATCAAAGAGTCTTTGTAAATCTGACCGTATGGTTCTTTTTGTAATATTGGTTGATATAGGTTCCAGT